AAATTTGCAACAATCCTGTTTGTTTTACATTGTGTTGTATCAGATTCATGTTTGTTTAAGTGACAGTGCTCCGTGTCTATGCTGTGTGCCAGACAAACGTCAGAGATGTTATTGAATGCATGTGCCAGCAAGCTCTCCAAGGAGAAGCCCGCCTCATTCCCATAGTTGGAATGTTTCTTCTGGAGTTGGTTTGACTTTATCTAATGTTGGTTGATTGGTTTGTCGCGCTCGTCCAGGCTCTCCCTGACAATCAGTTGAAGCTTTGATAATCAACAACAAAAATTTATGACTGTCAGAGGTCGGACTGCGGATCATTTTCCATGAAACATATCATGTAATTTGTTATCTGCCGACCTTAACGTCATATACATATCAGTGTTTTCCACGGGTCAACCCTCTGTTTGTGGCACAAATACACAAGCGTGCATTCCTAACTGAGCGACTAAATAATACTTTTATTTTTTACGTTCTTTGCAATTATTTCAATTGGCTCTATTTTGAATGAGTCTCCTTGCAGTCCAAAGCTACTGTCTCAGACTGCAGGTGGTGAATGCACCCCTGAAGTCCTTGTTGTTATGCAACCTCGACGACCTTGGCAAAAGGTCACATGAGCCAGTTCTCCAACTTTTTGCAGTTTCTAGTTAGAATGGCCCTCCGCTCACAGTGGAGCTCCAGAGGAGAACAGAGACTGCCGTTGCTAGCTGCAGTCCAATCAGTGTGACCACAGGATGAGATCTTCTCCGAAGAAGCGGCTGAATGATGTGGAAAAATGGTACAAAAGCAAACTCAAAAGAGCTGACGCTAGAGATTGAACTTAAATAAGAGGAAAGTTGGGAGAGGCAACGTCTGATTACAAAATGTTTTAAAAATGGTCAGAGTGGGTACCCAAATGTTAAGTAATGTCTGTGTAACACTGCAGTTTCCAGAGCACTGAAGACGTTCCAAGGAGGTTATCTGGATATGTTTCTGGATATTAAAATATTTTATTAACAAATAAAGTATTACAGAAAAATGCCCTTTTCTCTGTCTGACCTCAAACAACTCGAATCACAAAGTCAATGTACTTTCTATCTTGTTTCACTGCTTAAAAAGACTGTTAAGCTGAAAGGAGGATTAATTTACTTCTCATCTCCAAGTCAAACCGTGCTCCTGGAATTCACTCTGCTCTGTTAAAATCCTGTTTTTATGGAACCTAATCATTCAGCGTTTTAGTTCCATGTCTTTAGCCTCCTTGGGTATCTTAAAAAAAACTAACTCCAGCTTGCCTGATTAAATTAAAGACGTTAAAAAAAATCCTCATTGTTACATCTACAAAACCACAGCAAGATAGCAGAGTTGAGTTGAGTTCTGCTGTCGCTCTCAGGTCTCAGTCACTCAGGCTAAAAGCATCAGCAATAACAGAGCAGAATGTAAATGTGTGTCTGAGGCTCAGAGGCCCCCCACATACCTCCCCAGGATCTCCAGCAACTCAGCCACCCCGTTGAAGTGCTCCGTCTCATAAACAAAACTGCAGACAGACAGAGAGGGAGGCAGACCGAGGAGGAGATGAGAGAAGGCACACGATGAAAAGACACAAGCACTAAAACTCTCAAAGAATGGCATAAAAAAGGTAATTTGTAAATTAACACAAATATTGACAAAACACACACACACACACACACACACACAAAGAGGAGTTTCAGGTTTGAACCAACAGCCGCAGATATTTCTAAGATCCTTCTCATTCTTTGGCTGTACAAATAATCAGAACAGAAGCAGAAAAGTCTCCGTAAACTCTCAGTGTAAGCTTGTTTGCAATAACTGGCTCTTTTGGGTAAGCGCATACTTTATTCATTTACACATTCAGCAGACACACAGTGCCATGATCACTTATTCTGGGGTAGGTTTCTCCACGTTTGAGTCCCATATTCTCTCTATTGTGGCCTTTACAAACTTCTGAGGAACACTGACACAAATGTAATTATATTAAAGGAAAAACCGTCATCAGCTTTCAACAGTGTCGTTGTGCCTAGGTACTGACTCTATAGATGGCAGGGATAAACTTCGTTCTTCTGAAACATATTTTGGAATTTGGAGTTTAGATGATTGTGAGAAAGAACAGAAATAGAGTGAAAAAGAAGGTGTAGAAGAATAAAGTGAAGAGGAACATCAAAGGGAAGGTGAAGGGAAGGTGAGGAGGAAGAAAAACAAGATGAAAAAGGTTATGAAAGTGAAGAATGAGGTGAAAAACAAGGAAGAAGGTCAAGAATTATTATAAGACAAAAAAGGGGAAGGAGATGATGATGAAGAGGACAAACTTCCACATGATGTCACCAACAGGAGAAATCAGGTTGGGACGCTAATCAGAGTTGTCATTTTTCACATGCATCACACAGCAGGAGACAGTCCACTTTAGCTGGGTTTCCACTAATAGAAATGTTTGGTTTATGGAGGAAATGTGACCCACTCATATGACTTCACTGAACAATTAGCTGCTCTATTCTTGCATACGATCCAATCAGAAGTTTGGTGCAGGGTGCAGGACTCGGCCTGTTTAACAACATTTGTGCTTTCTGACATTTGTTGGATGTGTCTACGAAAACTCAGGGCTGCTGTGCATGTGTGCAAAGGGCGTAGACATCGGTCCATATTTCCCACAGGTGTTCAGCTGACACGACCATAGCTTACAGTTCACATCATTTTCACTCAAACAGCACCGTCATCCAGGAGAACAGGGTACACATCATAAGATGAAGGTGATCACTCAGAACAAGTCTGTATTGATTTTCAGTGACCTTTCCCTATAAGGTGAGAAGTGGAGCAAAGCTTTGCCAGCAAATATTCTCTACTGAATAAGAGAGCCATCTGATCCCCTCACGGCAGACATCAAGAATTCAGCTCTTTGCTTTTATTTGTGAGCCTTGTCTATTCGAATTTTTAGCTCCACTCCGTTGACTGGCAACTTTCTACCGTGGCTTCCTTTTTATCGTGAAAAAAATTCCACTCACATACAAACAGAAGCTTTTTCCAGCCCAGACATCTGAAGAATTCATGTTTACTCACCGTAGAAAAATATTATTGATCTGTTTTCGTATAAAAGCCCTCAGCCCCAGGAATTTGCCGTAGATTCTATGCAAGACTGTCTTCAGATAGTCTCTCTCCCGAGGGTCCTCGCTGTCAAACAACTCCAAGAGCTGGACACGAGGAATACACACAGAGGTGAGGGGGGAGAAAAATCAATTTTAGGGAGTAAGGCAGAAAAAAGCAACGTGCCTTAAAAGCAAAGAAAGACATGAAAAAGCTAAACTGACAGTAAAGACGATGATGAAGTAGAAAAGCAGAATTCTGAAGGTGACTCAACAACTCACCTGTAGGACAAACTTCTGGTCTATGTACTTTTTGGCAATGCTGGGCTGGAATTCCTGACTCTCCAAGAACCGAATGAAGAACTCGTATACCAACTGGAGAAAGAAACACGGTTGATAAAGAATTCATGTTAACCTCCGACACAAACAAATCTTTGTTTCACATGATAACAGGTGGAAAAGAATAGAAAAGTCCAAAGGCTCATCACTTCTTCTCAGATATAAGTGCATTGAATTAAGCCCATAAACAAACAGAACTGGATTAAAGGGAGAAACGGCTCAAACGTCACAAAAAGCAGAGTAATCTGGGATGGGCAAGGTAGAGAAAAAAAACTCAATTTAAGTTAAAAGGAGTTTAAATGTATATTCTGGGAAATATCATCATCCATTTTTCTATATAAGAATGAAATAACCACTCTCACAACCATCATAAGACTAGAAGCATGGGGGCACTGCTAGCCTGCTTCTGTTTGAGATTCAGCAACAGGCCTGCAAACACCTCTAAAGCTCACTAATTTTCACTTTCATGTATTATGTATTCAAACACAACAGTGCAATTTGGTCTTGCTCTTGTAGGCAGCCACATATTAAACACCCTTCTCCACACGTGGACTTTCCAGGGCACACCTCCACCCCTCTACGGTCACTCTAACCTGCTGCCAACTTTCACTTCAAATCCCATCATTATCTGCAAAGCTACAGTCCACGAAGACTTTCTGCAGGCCTGCTGCCTTATTGCCATCCTCACCTGATCCTAGCCAGTTCCTTCCATTTTATGATTTCCTATCTCAGGATAGTCCTACCTTCTCTACTTCCAGCTTTTCAGCACACTCTCTTCACTTCTCCATCACCTTAACTTGTGGTACAACCTTCCCAGCTTAGCGCCTCCTCATGTTGCCACATTTCTTATTAAACACTGCATTGTTTGCTCATCCCTGTATTCCCTCCTTTTAGATTCCTAAATTTCTCCTTACATCTCAAGACTCCTTGACACCCTTCCTCCAACTAGATCAAACACCTGTATCATAACAACTGCCTCCTTTGGTTGGCCATCTTTCCCATAACTCTCCAGTATTACTTTGCTCTTAACTTCCTCCTGAACTCTACCCACCACTGCTCTTGCTTCAGCCTGTTCTAAGGAGCTTTACCTGGCAACTCACTGATAACTGCACAGAAATGTGGGTATATAGACAAACTTAGCAGAAGTTAGTAAAGAAATTACACCAAAGTACCCCTAAAGGGTTGTCATTATACACACACACACACACACACTTTACCTGTAAGTGTGGCCAGGAGGCCTCAAGCGTGGGCTCATCCTCTTCAGGGTCAAACTCGTTACTGTCACTGGGCGGAAGGGTCCGGAATATGTTGTGAGACACCTGGAACAAGAAAGCGGGAACTTCAATCCAGTGACTGGAAATTGGGGTTCTGACCCAACATATAGATGATAACTGCTGTTTACGTGAGGGAGGCTTCAATGCAGGGAACTGTTCCCTGCAAGGTAAAAAAGTCTAAAGTCTAAATCTTATGTACACGTAAACATTTAAACAACTTTCCAAAACCACAATTCATGCCTTAATATTTGAGCCTCTGCTTCAGTACTTCAGTTTTTCTTCGAACTCTTTCTTCGAGTGGATTGACAGGGTTAAAATTTAACAAAACATTTTTGGGGGAATTATTACACACAACCATGGACCTCCTTGTCAACTATTCTGATGCATTTCTCCATTGAACAATCTTCAAACATTGCATCTTTAACCAGACCGGCATGCTTTAAATCTGGCAAGAAGTCAGAAGTCTCACAATCCTCACTGCAGCATCTACATGTATATATGTCTACACTTCAGCTTTAGAGTACTTAATTATATGTTCATAGTCTACTAGATAACAAAAACTACCATGAAGCAGTACATTTAGCCACATACAAAGCAAACCTAACAGAGTTTAGTGTAAACCACATCAGTCCAGATGTGTGTGGCAGGTGATACATTAGATTCACTAAGAATAATACAATGAATTACAATGCTGTCCACATGTATGTCTCTTCTTAATGAGACCGACTTTGTTAACTCTTATCAAAGAGTTGTCATCAGGCAGAAACCTCTGAAAATAATATTGTGCTGTGTCAGTTTTTCTACATGTCCATTAGACCAGTATGTTTTCTGTCTGAGCACAGGACTGCTTCTTTTACAGTACCTGTATGTACTGCAGCAGACCTTCAGTTATGACTGTCCTCAACGGCCTGAAGATATACTCTGTGGAAGGC